GGAGGTGGAGGCAGAGGTGGAGGTGGTGGTGATTTTGGGGGCGGAAGTGAATTTGGAGGCAGAGGTGGTGGTAGGGGCGGTGGCAGAGGCAGGGGCAGGGGTATGAGTAGGGGTAGGGGAGGGGGCAGGAGCAGAGGAAGGGGTAGGGACTGAGCACCCTCTGTTTGCATGACCCACTTGAAGGTCGCTGCGACATTTCGGCTGTCGAAAACACCAAGGTGGCGTGAGATATTGAAATCCCGAGGCACATCGCTGCGACATTGAACGGCCCTCCTGGCACACACCTTGTAATCCCCTGATCAGTGTAAAACCGTATCCCGCTTTTACGTAAGAGTTAGGATAGTGCTTCCAAAAGTTTGGCAGCGAGAAATTTTGACTGATGTTTCATTATATGGTTTGGTAGGAATTCTGGATGGCTTTTTGATGAGAAGAACCATGGCACAGAATTACCCTGTTCTCTGTCTGGCCTGGTTACATGTTAACTTCCAAAGAGAGAAGATGGCATGTTGAGTTTTCTGTGATTCTGCTTGTGTTCATTCGTATATGCTGGATGCCTTGCTATGGCCTATAATGCTATGGTTGTTGCACGTTTGAGATGGTGCGGTGTCCCATGGTTCGTGTGTGTTGATTAAGTGTTGGAGATAAAACTATTCTCGTGTTAACCACTAGCGGAAAAAACTTCTGCATCTAAAAATGCATATAATCCTATTTTATTTTAAGAAATACCATGCTTTATTGATCGAAGCTCATAACTAAAGGGATACAAATAAGATTGTGAGGTGAGCCCAACCATACATGGCGCTGCCGATTTAAAGAAAAACATGTGTTTTATTACAAAAATAAAATATAAAAAGACCTAGCAGTGTGCCTGGGCTATCAGCCTTCGGTGTTGCAGACACAGACATTTCCTTCACCAAATCCCTACCAAAATCCATTTTCTTCGCATCTAAACCCTTCTTCCCAATCCGCAAACCCCACTTCTCAATCCTCAAAGACTATCTGATTGCAAGATATAGCTGAATCCTTCGCAAATCCTGGCAAAATTCCTTTCACATCTGAATCCTTCGCAAAGGCTATATCTCGCTTACTGCAAGATCCAGCTGCTCATGGTTGTATCTTTGTTTAAGTTTGTATTTAATTTAAATTTATGTTTTTGTTTAATTAATTATTCTCCTTTCCTTTTCTTGTTTTATGTATTTTTATGATTTCTATTTATGTTTACCTTTTTTGCTTTTCCATTTTTATTTTCTATATGTCTTTTAACATTTTTTATTTTTCGTTTCTATATAATTTTACAATTACATGAATATTTTAGTGATAAAACTAATAATAACCTTTCAAATATATAGTACTCCCTCTGTTTCAGAATATAAGCTGTATAGATTTCCGTGCAAGTCAATCATTTGAATGTTTGACCAAGATTATAGAATAAAATAGCAATATCTGCAATACCTAGTAGATAAAATATGAAACTACTTTTTATGATGGATAAAATGATATAAATTTTGTATTGTGAATGTTGATATATTTTTCTAAAAACTCGATCAAACTTGCACTCGTTTGACTTTTTAAAAGTATATTGTTGTAAAAAATCGCACACCCCTTGAGCATGACTCAAGACGTCGTCACCCCACAGGTCCACATAATCTATTTCAACACAACACCACGAGGTCTTCTCCCCTCCCCCCTCTCTCCCTTCGTGTGCGTGTTAGTGTGTTTGTTTCATAATTGCAATAAAATGACAACACATTAAGGACTAAAGTGATAGCCCAATTCCAACATATTATCCACAATATTCTCATGATATGCAAAAGTTGAAAAGCTTATGAAAACAAATAAATAATTGATTGGTTGCAAATTATAGTTTGCTCCTACATTAAAAGAACCAACTAACTATGCATGATCATGTTTCTCCAACAAAAGATTAGGTAAACGCTGGTGTTCGGTTCTACGAAAATGGTAAAAAATAATCATTAAAGTACTTTAAAATTGTAAAAAGGAAAAATTAAAACACATGTGCTTTGATACTTTGATTTACCGGAAAATCATGTATTTTACGACAACGGAAGAACCAACCGCTCTAGAATAGATGCATAATTGAGGAACTTCCTGGCGTAACACCCCCGGGTAAGACCAGATGAATGTCTCGAGATTGAGTCAATCTTGTCATGTTTAGAATATTAATTATAATCTCTAGATCCTTTAATTAATTGTTTGTACAATAAAACAACAGCTACACTTGGGTCCCATGATCTTGAATATAGTAGTTTGTGTTGGGAGACGATCGATAATCTTCTCCTTTCCAGATGTATGCATTCCAACCAGCTATTGCTAAAAAATGTACTCCCTCCGTCAATACAAAATTAGTACAGAGCTGAGCCACTTATTTTAGGACGGAGGAAGTATATTCCAAATGATAAATTCCTATGACTAATTCTAGCACAACGCATGAAGCAAACGTCAAAAGGAGGAATAATCATGTAGAGGGGCGAGACGTGGGGACTTATTCGGAGCACGACCACACGGTCGAGAGGGTAAGGGCAATAATTCCCATAAATTTGCTCTCCTATATCTCGAAACAGGGACTCCCTTGAGAAGATTCTAAGATTTCTTCAACTCGAGAAGCTTTCAGGCCCGACGAGATGGGCATGGTGTGGTCCCGTCTTCAAATCATCCCTTAGCTCGCAAAAACGATCTTATATTACCGGACAGAGGGAGTATAACATATCATATTTTGGTCTTATACTACCTCCGTTTTTAAATACATATAAGTCTTTTTTAAAGATTTTAATATAAACTATATATAGACATATTTTAAAGTGCGGATTCATTCATTTTGCTCCGTATGCAGTCCCTTGTTGAAATTTCTAATATATTTAGTTCACAGCAACAACGAACAACAAGAAAAATCACTGCGAATCTCAGTCTGAATCTACTGTATGAATTACGAACTGACCCCTGTACAAGTTATCACCTTATTTTATTAGGCCCGGCCCAGTTAGCCTGTTGGCGGGCGACGAACCCTCTCCTCCTTCCCATTCCCTTCCCCAGTCACCCTGTCCGCTCGCCGCCGCCGCCGCCGCCGCCCGACTCACCGAAGAATATACCAGCGCGCGTGCTCTCTCCTCCCCCGTATCCGCCCGAGCCCTCGATCCAGCCCCGCCGCGATGCTCTCCCTGTCGAGGACGCTCGCGAGGCGGCTCTTCTCCACCGCCGCCGCGCCCGAGGGCGCCGCCGCCGCCGCCGCCTCGACGCCGCTGGCGAGGAAGGCGCAGAACCCCCTCGAGGAGTTCTTCGAGGTCGAGCGGAGCACCCAGGACGACCAGCCCGCGCCCCACTACGGTACGTGTGCCCCTCCCTCCCTCCCGCTCGCCCCCAACTCACTTTTCCACCCTAGTGTTGTAGTGTAGACGGAATGGGCAGAGACTCAAGTTTGTTTGCTTAGTGGGTACCCACTCTGTAACGCCAATCAGTACCGGAGTTTGATGCTCATGTATCTCTTCTCACGTGGCGTTGCGGCCGCGGTCTGCGCGGTGGCCATATAGAGCGCCGGAAACGATGGCGACATACTGGAAGGCGGCTCTGCTCGCTCGCGCCGCCGCTGGCGTTGGGTGGGTCCATCGGCGGCGGCTGGACAGGAGAACCGGAGATGGGGAGGCAGGCAGATAGATAGATAGATAGATAGATAGCCGCTGTAGCGTTATCATCCATCACAGAGGATTTCCAGCGGAATCGAATTTGTATCAGGCTGGGGTCTCATACCATGTTATTAGATTAATTACAGAGTAGCCAAAACAAACATGTTTTAACCGTATCAGTTAACAATGTAATCAGATCAGATTACGTTACAAAGGTATGAGACAGGCACCGTCCATAGTGTCTGGTACTTTGCGATGATTCTAAATTTTGTCATGGTGGTGTGTAAGGTCATGCCATAGCACTAGGATTTTTAGGTCTCTCAGGTGTGATGTTTTCTTTTTTCTTTTATTTTTGAAAGGAGGTGTGATGTTTTCTTTTTTCTTTTATTTTTGAAAGGAGGTGTGATGTTTTCTGCTTTGAGCAAATGAATTTACGCGTCATTCTTGTCAAGAAAGCTTATGGGTGTCCCCTTTTGTTTCATTAATTGGCAGGTCGTGGCTGGAAGGCTTCTGAACTGCGCCTCAAGTCTTGGGATGACCTTCATAAGCTGTGGTATGTCCTTCTAAAGGAAAAGAACATGCTCATGTCTCAACGCCAGATGCTGGCTTCAGAGAGCATGCGTTTCCCAAATCCGGAGCGCATTTCCAAGGTATATCTGCTGCCACAACCTAACACCATTCCTCAAGCAGTTAACTGCTTATTACTGCATATTTTGGTTCTCTGTCAACATAACCATGTCCACCTGCAACAATTTGTGATTTAATCAACTAATTTTATCATACTTTTTGTAAGATGTTTTCTCACCCCATGTGTGGATGGCAAACTATATATGCCCACTGCCAAATAAAACTGGTGTATTTCTGAACCTCTGACATCTCTATTTAATCAAATATTTTACATACTTGCACATTTTCTGCTAGTTAATAGAACTGCAGTTGGCTCTAGTTTCATGATGAATTAAAAGTCACATTGGCTGTTCTACTGGCCCTGTCAAGTTGTTCCATGGAGTGACCTAAATAAGTTGTGCTATATTCTCGATTCTTCATGAACTTTACTGTCCTTGAATATCATTGGTTCTGATAACCAAACCTTGTCATCAAAGATACTGTCTAGTGCGCAGAAACAATGGGCTTTGTGATAAACTAAACTACCGAATTGCTATTTTTGCGGCTAACAGAATATTTTTATTTCGCCTGTTTTGTAAATTATGCTGCACGTGCATACTGGAAAACAAATCAGTTTTGCAGAATTGGAGAAAATTTAATGAAATCACGGGTGTCTTGGTCATAGTGCTGAACATTGGTCACTGCATATTTTGGTTCTCAGTCCACATAACCATGTCCATGTGCAACGAATTTTGATTTAATCAAATAATTGTAACATACTTTTTGTTTTGCTCATTCCACCTGTGGATGGCAAGCTATGCCCACTGCAAGTCAAATTGTTGTATTTCGGAACCCCTGCTATCTCTATCTAATCACATATTTATGATACTTGCACATTTTTTGCTAGTTAATAGAATTACAATTTGGTGGCTCTAGTTTCATGATGGATTAAAAGTCAGATATACCATTGGTTATTCTACAGGTCCTGTTAAGTTACTCCATTGCGGTCTTTTTGAGTCTTCATTTAACTTTATTGTCCTTGAATATCCTTGGTTCAGACAACCAAACTGTGTAACCAAAGAAGCCGTGTAGTCTGCACCTAGTGTTTTTTGCTCCCAAATATTGGCCTTCGTGATAAATTGAAGCACAGAAATACCTCTTTTGCATCAGTGAAATAATAAGGTGCATGGACATGCTGAAAAACAATTTGTTTTTGCAGAATTTTTAGGGAAAATTTATGAAACCATGGTGTCGTGGGGACGGTAACTACTTTTTTTTTCTTCAAAATGATAATTCATTGGTAGTATTCAAAACGTTGGTGCAGCCTGGTCACTTGTTAATGTTATTTTGCGTTGAGCACTGGGTGCTTACTTTTCAAGACATAATGGGGGAAGAGTTAGTCAACTACATCTTGTTGATGATCTTTTCAATCTGGGTCTATGACCTGCTTTATAGGCTAGCATTTCCTCCATGTGGTTCTTGTCAAGTGTCGACGTGACCCGTTCTTTCTTGTCATGAGCATATTTTTTTGTTCAAGACATCTTTTCTGTTAGGACTCTGTTTAGCGCTGGGTATATGATTTTCAGGAAATAGTGAGTAAACAGTTAGTCAACAGTATGTTGTTGGTGATCTTTTCAGTATGGGGATATGACCTGCTTTCATAGGGTACCGCGGCCCTCATTTGATTCTTGCCGAGAGTCAACAACAGGGCTCGAAAGATTCTTACCAGCGCGCACATGAGTGCCGTTTTAGTTCCAGGTCATCTTTTCTGTTCCTTAGGCGGCAGAACCTGACTCGCCCCGCTATTGTTTGTTTGTTTGTTTGTTTCAGGTGAGGAGATCGATGTGCCGGATCAAGCACGTGCTGACGGAGCGGGCCATTGCGGACCCTGACCCGAGGAGGACCGCGGAGATGAAGCGGATGATCAACGCCATGTGATGGACTCACGTTGTCGTCGTGCTTTTTCAGCTGTCCGTAAGCAGCAGCTTTAGCATCTGTCTACCACTAGAAAGAATTTGCTTGCTTGCTTGCCTTCTTGTGTTGTGCGCCTCCCCCGGAAACGGAAGGTGTATAAGAAGAAGTGCAGCAGCCCTGGGGATTCTACGAGGCTCCCAAACATTCCCGTGGATGAACCTCCGATGGAATAACCACGGCCGCGGCCGTCTGTCTGTTTTTGCACACTGATATGCATGACTGTTGGTTTCATTTCTGGCTCCGGTTTTCGCGGTCGGTCGGTCGGGGTCTCGAGGGCGCGCTCCATGATTGCGCGCTCTCCTTTCGTCCATTCATTTGGCAGTGCAAGAAAGGGTTTTATCACGTCGATGCTGGGCAGGAACGTGTCCTGTGGCCTGTCATGGCGATGGCGTCGAGTGGAACAGCCGCAGGCGTGAGGTTTTCGTGGGTTAATACCACGTAGTGTGACATCTTGTGACCTGACCGGAGTTAGTTGTTTGGTCGCCGGCCGGCGTGCACGACCACGTGGACGGCGAAAACCACGTGCTATATATATATCACGTTCTGTAGATGGGGCTATCACGTGACCTGCCGCTAAGCAGTCAACTTGTGCTATATACTCCCTATATCATGTATTTTTGAGACCATGATTATGCCTTTTGCCAGTCTAACACTAAAAAAATTGAATCTATGAACTGAGCATAGCTCCGATTTTTTTCTCGATAAAGGAGCATTGCTCCGATGGCTCGGCTAGGTTACTTGTGGGTTGTGGCGGTGCAACCTGCCCATCCGAGTTCAGCTACTGGACTAGACGGTGGTCGATCAAAACCCGGTTTCCAGCAGTCATCATCAATGGTTTTATTGTGTTATTTTCTTCTCCGCGAAAACAGATCCATATATCATGTGTCAATGCAGGACATGAACGTCTCTTTCCGTGTCCGACTCCAACTCCGTGCCTATCAATACGATGCAGCTGGGCATGAACTGAACATATAAATATTGCTTTTCTTTATTTTCTTGTGAGATGAACAATCCTGTATTTCTTTTTGGGGTTTGCTATATCTTAGTCGACTGAGATTTAGTGAAGTCTCAGTCGACGAGATTTGCTGTAAGATTGGCTTTTGCTTTTATCGATATGTGTTCTCTTGCGCTGCGCTGATGTATTTCTTGTCCAAAACGTACTGGGCTTTGTCCCAGGCTCCCAGCGGGCACTGGACCTTCTGCCGCTGCATTGCTTTCCTATCTGGGCCATGGGTTGTCGCTTGCAGTTCTTTATTTTTTTTCTGTTTTTTATTTTCTCATAGGTCTTTCATGTGAATACATTGTATGTTTCTCTATTTTTTGTTGGGAAAGTGTGCACATTAAGAAGCTCACCAGGGAAGCGCAGTTTGTGTATTCACATCTACTTTTATCCTTCCTTTTTATTTATTTTTTCTTTTCTATTTTAGTGTACTTATTTATCGTTTTTATTAAGATATTTTTACTTTTTTTATTTTTGTTAAAATATGGAACATCTAAAAAATTGTAAAACAAAATTTTTGGCACGCTTGAGATATTTTTACTCTAACTTTGTTGATGTCTTTTCAACATAATCATTTTGTTTATTATATTTCCTATTTCTTTTTATAGTTTTTGCTTTTCTCATTTATGTATTACCAACAAATATTTTAGTCATGTTTATATGTCTTATTCTTTTCTATGTCAGGTTGATAGAGAAACAATTGCTTTTTCTTTGTATTTTTACCACTAAAAATTTCATGTGTTTGCAACTACGATGAGGGGGTAGAACGCCTGCACAACTGCCTGCATCCAAACTCACGGGCAACTGCAAGGAGTACAATGTGTTTGCAACTACGATGAGGTAGTGTGTGCGGGGATGGGATAAGAAACATGCCTGATATGTGTCATTTTACAATTTTTCTATTTCTTTGTATTTCTGAAATTTGTTCTTTCCTGACCTGGAAGTCGAGATCCAATGGAATAAGCAACTTTGGGCGTGTTCATTTTTGCAACATCGGTTGATTATGTGTCTTTTTTTGTGGTCTTTACAAATACTTTTCAGGCTAATGGCCATTCTTCCTACCTATTTTGTTTTAAATTATTTATCAAAAACTTGCTATTTTTATGTTTATTTGAAAATATTGCCTTCTAGTTTACAACTACATGTCTCTCGCTCGCGCGTGTCTATCGGCAATGTTGGTGTGGTGGATTTTTTGACGATGAAACTGGTTTCTTTGCTTGCAGGTAGATTCACTTACCTCGGTAAATAAAGCTCCGTTTTTATGTGCCGCCGTCAAGTGTCATTCAGATTATTTTTTTGCTCGTTTTGCTGTTTATTTTGAGGTTCTTTCCAGTAAAGATTGTTTTACAACTAGTAGTACTAAATTTCTTTTAGTAGGAGACTGAAGATGAAGTGTGGTTCTCTGTTGGATTGTACTGGAAGTAGTATTTTATCAACACATTTTTTTATGCTTGTACGTACTTATAGAGAAATTTTCACACTCCCTCTGTATATCCTCTGTACAGAGAGTATAGTGCAACCCTCTGTTCATGAGTAGGTGACAAGACAGATGTGTGTTTAGGGTTTTTGCTAAGTTGACATTCCTTTTTGTTTTTTAGGATATAAACCTCTGCTAGTTATCTTTTTTTGGAAACATTTTTTTTCTTTTTTTAATCTGGTGAGTGCTATCATTTATACTGTTCTTTACTGGGATATAAACCTCTGCTATTTTTATCTTTTGTTTTTTAAGAAGTGCTTCTCTCACATCCCCTCATACACATTATTGAAGCCATCAGCAAGAGTGATTCAATTCATTTGTTTTGTTTTATTCTAGTCGACATTAGTAGGTCGAAGAATATGATTTTGCTGAAACATTACTTTCGCGAAATCAGATCCATGTTTTTGAGGATTATCTCCGAACTCAAATCCCCTCATATGTATTATTGGGCCATAACTAGGAGTTGTATAGCCCTTTTGTTGGTTTTACTTGGTTGCAACTCGATTCCAGTTTTGTTGTGCGGGGAGAGGCGCCAGTTGCATATCCCACAATGGGCACACAACTGCATGTCTTCTAACTTGGCATCAATTAGGGGGCCTTTGTTTTGTTGGAGGGGGCTACGTCGAGAGAGATGGGGCCCAGTTGCATGTCTCACACTAGGCGTGCAACTGTATGTCTTCTAACTTGGTCGCAACTACATGTCTTATAACTTGGTTATAACTCGACTTCCATTTTTGTTGTGCAGGGAGAGGTGCCAGTTGCATGTCCCATAGTGGGCACACAACTCCATGTCTTCTAACTTGGTCGCAACTAGGAGGACCTTTGTTTTGTCAGAGGGGGCGGCGTCGAGAGAGATAGGGCCCAGTTGCATGTCCCACACTAGGCACGCAACTGCATACTAACTTGGTCGCAACTGCATGTCTTATAACTTGGTTGCAACTCGACATCCATTTTTGTTGTACGGGGAGAGGCACCAGTTGCATGTACCACAACGGGCACGCAACAGCATGTCTTTGAGCATGATCGTAGCTACATGTCTTATAACTTGGTTGCAACGTTAACTCAACTTCCATTTTTTTGTATGGGGAGAGGCACCAGTTGCATGTCCAACACTAAGCACGCAACTGCACATCTTCGACCATGGTCGCAACTGCATGTCTTATAACTTGGTTGCAACTCGGCTTCGTTTTTGTTGTGCGGGGAGAGGCGCCAGTTGCATGTCCCACAATGGGCACGCAACTCCATGTCTTTTAACTTGGTCGCAACTGGGATGACCTTTGTTTTGTCAGAGGGGGCGGCGTCAAGAGAGATGGGGCCCAGTTGCATGCCCCACACTAGACACACAACTGCATGTCTTCTAACTTGGTCGCAGCTGCATGTCTTATAACTTGGTTGCAACTCGACTTCCATTTTTGTTGTACATGGAGGGGCGCTAGTTGCATGTCCCACAACGGGCACGCAACTGCATGTCTTTTGAGCATGATCGCAACTGCATGTCTTATAACTTGGTTGCAACTCAACTTCCATTTTTTATTGTTAGGGGAGAGGCACCAGTTGCATGTCCCACACTAGGCACGCAAGAGCATGTCTTCGACCATGGTCGCAACTACATGTCTTATAACTTGGTTGCAACTCAACTTCCATTTTTATTGTGCGGAGAGAGGTGCCAGTTGCATATCCCACAATGGGCACACAACTCCGTGTCTTCTAACTTGGTCGCAACTGGGAGGACCTTTGTTTTGCTGGAGGAGGCGACGCCGAAAGAGATGGGGCCCATTTGCATGCCCCACACTAGGCACACAACTGCATGTCTTTCTAACTTGGTGGCAACTGCGTGTCTTATAACTTGGTTGCAACTCGACTTCCATTTTTGTTATACGGGGAGGGATGCCAGTTGCATGTCTCACAACGGGCACGCAACTGCATGTCTTCTAACTTGGTCGCAACTACATGTCTTATAACTTGGTTATAACTCAACTTCCATTTTTTGTTGTACGGGAAGAGGCAGCAATTGCAGCTATTTTTTTAAATAATACTTTTTTATTAATTTTCATAAATATTACGTTGGATAAAAAATTTCAAAAATAATATACCGTCGGCCCGCTGCAGGCCTACTGGGCCTAGTCAGCCTACAGCTGGCCGACTGGCCCCTATCGGCCCACTGTAGGCTGATTGCGTCCTGTCGGCCCACTGTGGGCCGACTGGAGCTAATTGGCTCGCTGTGTACTAATTGTTTTTGCAAAAAAAGTAGGCATAAAAAAATATATATTTAAAAAAATGTTAATCATGTAATTAAAAATATTAAACGTGTATAAAAAAATGTTCCTGATGTATACAAAAAATGTACAATATATATGCTAAACAGTTGACATAAAAAATATGTTTTAAAAAGTGCTAAGCATGTATTTAAAAATTGTTAAATGTGTGTATAAAAAATGTTCCTTATTTATACAAAAAATATAGAATGTGTATGAAAAAAAGTTGACA